CCCCTCGCCCCGGGCGCGCCCGCGCGCGCGCCGCATCGGCCGTAATGTTAAACGACAAGCGGTAGGACCGGGGCCGCCCTTCGTCATGCGAAAGTCTCCGAGGGACGGCGGCCTTACCCCATTAAGTGTACTTATATATAAGATAGCGGCGCGCTCGGCGCCGAGGGCACATCAATCACGATAATAGGACAATAAATATCTGACCGGTGGACGAGTGGGCCGGCTAAGGTCAAAAGTGCAGCAGCTTGCAATTTCTGCCCGATTTCCTGCCGCGATGCTCGCACACCCCGCTCGCTCTCGCGATAACTCAACCTTCGCATCTGCAATAATCTGCGATCGCTCCCCTACACCGCGCGAGACTAAGCCGCGCGCATTAAAGCGCCTCGAACCGATGCCCTCCTCCTGCCGCCCCCTCAGCCGGTGTTGAAATACGCAATATTCTGTGCGTACGAGTGTCTGTGGTGCGTATGTGTGCGGGAATTCGATAGTTTGCAGACAAGATTCGCCGCCGACGCAGCACCCTCCCTCGCAGCGCGTAGGCTGCAAAAGACGAAACGGATTTCGCGCTTGGCCGAACGGAAAATTTCGCGATTTTGTTTACGCGATGGCACTGGGGTGAGAGGCCGCGAGATCGGGGTAGAGGGAGGAGGGATAATACAGATGCTGAGAAATCCAGATTCTCTCTCTCTCTCTCTCTCGCACGTGCGCGCGCGTCGGGCATCTGTTCGTGAATATCGACGTCGGTTCGTGTCTTTTGGTGCGCGCGGCCATGCAACGAGGCCGGAAGCTTATTCGGAGCTTTCGCCGCGCGAAAGTTGGCGTATGCGCGGCTAAACTGTTATCGAGCTTCTTCTTTCGTCGCGCGTCTTATCCCCAGCGATGTGAGCGCGTATCTGGAAAATACACACGGAACGACGACGGGATGTCTCGCTCGTTCGTTCCCCCCGCCCCGTTCGACCGCTCGACGATCAGCTCGGCGACGCTAGTACGAAGGAATAACGCCTTAATGAAGAGCCGAGGAGCACAGTCTCGCGTAGAAGCGGTCGCGAGAATGGACGTCGAACATCGACGGGCACTCGGAACTTCCTCACGAGGACAGCTGGAAATATCAGCTCTCGGCCCGACAGCGGCATGCGCTTCGCGACGGCGAGCGGTTTATTCGAAACGGAAGTTTAGATATACGCGCGCGGGGTAGTACGGGGGGGGGTGGTGGCGCAGTGTATCGGACGCGGAAACTTCATCTTTTAATATATAAATATGGCGGCGGAGAGATGGGGCTCAACACACAGCGGTAAGGCGCGTGTGCATTAACTGTTCCGAAAGTACGACATGTATAAACTTGCTTTCCTCCTCCTGTATAAACCATAAAACAACGGACCGGCTCGGCGGACGACCTCGCGCAAGCCGGGCTAACTATTAAAAGTTGCAAATTGCTGCAGACACACTGCGGGCCCCGTGCTCGCGCGCACCGGCCGTCTTGGGCACTCGCTCGCCCGCTCGCCCGCTCGCCCGCTCGCTCGCTCGCGGTTGCGCCCGCGCCTTCGCGTCCTGTCCTAACTTACTTACTTAGCAGACTTACTCGCTTCCTTACTTATATAGTCGCTCGCTCGCTCGCTCGCTCGTTTACTTACTTATTCCCCGTCTCGTATTCCTTATCCCTCGCCCCTCGCCCCCTGTCCCGCGCCCTGTCGCACACTTTTCCGCGCGACGGTTTCCCTCGGTTAGCGTTACTTGTTCCACCGTCGTTTCCGCCTTTCTGGAGCAGCCAATCGAGGCTGGCTCGGAAACGGGCCGAGGAGCGCCGCGACGGCGACGACGGAGCGAGAGGGAACGTCGTGGTGGATCGCGAATAACGCGAACGCCGGGCCGCCGCTCTCTCTCTCTCTCTCTCTCTCTCTCTCTCTGCGGTGTCGTGTTATTTTTGCGAGCGCGGCGCGTTCGTCAGAGACAAAGTCGCGCGCGACTGATAAAAGCGGCCAACTGCCGTCCGCGGCATACTTAACGAAGCAATCAGCTCAGTGAGGAATGATTCATAACCACGTTATACTACATAATAGATGATAACGTGGATTATTTAACTTCCATACGCGCCGACTGCCGTCCGATATATACGGACTACCCAGGCAGGCCATTCGCCACGGTTAGTTTACTGTTTAGTTGCGGCGTCCCGATGCCGCGTCCAAATATATTTTGTAAAATAGTTTACGATATACGCGGCTGGCTGGTAATCGTACAAAGCACCGCGCGCACGTAAATGCTTTATCAAGCGGGACGGAGTATTTTGCCTCTGTTCGCACATTTCGCCATAATTCGGTTCAATTATCATTCGATTATATTGGTTTTAGTGGCGCGCATTTAGCAACAGCGCGCAAATGCGGGCTCGTGAAATTACGAAAAATACGGCCGCTCGCATGGGGGAACGTAAATCTCGCGGATAGTTCGACGCGTCGACGAAATCGATTAATGACGCGTATCAATTCTTTCAGCGCGCGCGCGCCCGCGCGCGCGTTATAAAACTCGCGCACGAATTTCCAAAGCGTCGCGATGAAAATGCCTGCTCCTTGCCGTTGCACACAGTCTCTCCTCGCACCCGCGGAATTTTCGCGCTGGGTGCATTTTACATCGCGCTACTTTCGTCCCGATAGCTAGAAATTATTCGTTACGGCCGATCGCGCCGTGTTAGTTTTTTTATGGCCAATAATAAAATATTCAAACGGCCTTCGTGAAAATTGCTGTCGAAAACGCAATAAACTTGCTTGAAAATCATGACGTTAGCGCGCACATTTTCCGGTTATTTTTTTTTCCTTCTTTCCCCCTCCCCCTTTTTTATTTCAAATGATATTTTTAACGGGGTATTTCGCATGCGTCGCATACGTTGCAATTTTACAGACTGTTTCGCCGTTACATCGGTTAGTGGCGAAATAAAATACACAGAGGCTCGCGCGCGCGCGCGCGCGCGTCGATTGTAACGTTGTTCCTCGTCGGTTTCCGTTAAATATAAATCGACCGGCCAACGTATGACCCGCGATACGAGGGCAAGAGCGAGGAAAAAATTCATTCGTCCACGCGCGCTCTTTAAAGTAATCGCCGGTGCTATAACACAGCCGCGCCTTAAAACACTTTTTCGACACTTGAACGCTCCCCTCCCGACCCGCGCGGCCTACGCGCTGGTTTCATAAACCCTCGTAACCCAGCAAGGTTAAATACCCTGTCGCTCCGACCCGGGGACCGCGCGCGGAGTTAAACGACACCGAGGTTGGCTGTGCCAACGGCCAAGAAAATGAAAAGTAACGATTCAATATCAGCGCCACGCGCGTTGCGTGTACCGAATTAACACGTACTGATACGGCCTGTATGTCGTCCACGCCGGTGACATCATTCTTCCATTAATCCTGTCTACATTTTCTGCGTATCGTGCCGCACGGCTTTTATTACACGCGCACTTCGACCGTAACATTTTACTCTTTCTCGCTTATATCATGCTCGCGAAATCTATCACCATTAATTAGCGATAGGATCGCGTACAAGAACGAGATCGACCTGACGCGGAACGCGGTGCGCGATCAAAGGAGACTTTCGTCTCTCTCTGTGTGAGGTCTTTTTACTTCTCTCTCTCTCTCTCTCTCTCTCTCTCTTTTTTTTCTTTATAAACTTTGTACTCGGGTGAAGCGATACGCGTTCTCAATATGTCGAGATGGACTAAAAAGTGAGAATTTTCAGAAAATGGAAAATAACACCGCGCGTTTCGAGAAAGAAATATTATATAAAATATAAAAAAATATACACACACACACATATATATATATGTGTGTGTGTGTGTATATCTCGGCGGGTTCGATGCGTGTTTTCACGTGGAATTTTCCCGGACGGTTCATTAATCAATTGCCAATAACATTTCGCGGACGTCGATATTGGATTATCTAAAGGGGGTCGTTGATAAAAGCGCCGTGTATGAATTCTAGCGCGCTAGTTCTCCGTCGTCGCGAAATACACGAAACCGATGACACGTCACGCGTACACGCGACCGTAACCACGCCACGCCGCCGGCATGAATTAGCCGTCGACTAGTCCCTTTCGCAATCGTCTGCTTCGGCGCGCGCGCGCGCGCGCGTTTACGATAAATACGCTACAGCGAAACTTACTTCACAGCTGGTGCCTGGCTGCTTCGCGCCGCGTTTGCGTATCTTCATTTTTTCCCCGGCATACGACTCCGATCCCGCCGAAATGACTTTTACTATCTATCGAATATCTGCGACGCCACGAGCGGGTACATGGCGATGCATAAAGAATCCAGTTTACGGCGTCTGTTAGGACTCGACGATACCCGACATGTCCCATTTCCGTCGTCCGACGTCTTCCCCAAAGTGAAACCACTTCCTCGCCGGGGCGGAATCTGTAGATCCGATTTAGAAGTAATGTGATCGATTCTCCCAAGTTTGTCCTAAGAAATGCCCGCGAGTTTCACTCGCCAAAGCAAGCCAGCAGCAATATGTATGAGAAATGTACGAGAACGCTTCAAGAGCGAGAATGATAGCTCGACGGCGGCTTCGGTCAGCGCTATTTGATGCGACAAATTGCAGTTAGCTGCCGGCAACTATCGAGTTAACGGGAGGGGGGAGGGGGAGGGGCTATCCTTGAGCTTTCGCGCGCGACGAATGATTTGATAAAATTCCGTCTCTCTTATTGTACATTAATGTGCGACAATCAAATGAACGGCGCGCGTGCGCGCACGTGCTGTACCGTATTACGCTTCATTATTAGCATATTAAGATTTAAAAAATTTCATTAAAAACGTTATCTTTACGCGGCGCATTAAAAATTGTGCAGCTGAATTATTGCACCGGCGGCGTACGCGGAAACAGTTGGACGCGTTTATTAATGCCCACGTGGTGTGCATTAAAGTTCCCCGGGCTTTCTGAAACGTGTTGTCTCCCTTTTGACCCGCGCATTGCATTATCACGTGGCATTAAACGTGCTTTTTCGTTTTTTAAATGTTCCAGGAGATGAAAGTTAACTGGGCGACGTCGCCGGGTAACCAACCAAAGCAGGACACGAGCAGTAAGTACACCCAGTTCTCAGATTTTTCATCGTTACACGAAAAAGAAAAGAATATCTAGCGCGGTGCGTTTCGCCTTTGATCCTTGCCCGACTTGTTGGACTCGCGTACTAATTGGTCAGAGCGAAGAATTACTACAGAAGAGAGGGAGAGAGAGAGAGAGAGAGAGAGAGAGAGAGGGAGTTTTTGAAGCTGCTCCACCGCAGGGAGCGAGGAGCATCTTTGGGTAAATTATGCAGCGCACTTTATGCAAAAATATGAAAATACCCGCGTCGGACGATAATAGCGCCGGCCGATAAACAGCTGAAACTGATTCTCCGTATCCGACATTTCCACATTAATCTAGCGTTTATTAAACGTTAATAAAATGTAGCGGCATTAATACAAAGCGATTATATCTAATTTACAAAATTTGTGCCAGAAATTTATTATTATTTGATCAGAAACGTACTTACGCACACGCACGCACACACGTGCGTGTGATCAAACGTATTATTGTGGCTTATTCATCGTTATTGCATCGTGCGACATTAACACAATGCACTTGGCTTTTTCGATATGCGTCATTTATTAAAATAATACACGTCAACGCGTACGCATACGAGATACACGTGTGCCCAATTAAACTTTGATAATTAATTTATTATTCCTGTCACAGCGCTTCTAATTCATATGTGATTTGGTGAACAAATTATTTTCGTTGACGCACACCGCCGCGCCGTAAGTGTGCGGCCAGTCGCGATATGATTACGGTAAATTGCGACCACAGGAATTTCGAAAGTTTCGCGAGCCCTAGCGATACGCGTCTGTGATTCGAGGAAGAATTTCGGATGCCGATTTTCTCCGATCTTATTACTATTTCATTTCTGCTATTCAAATACGCCGACTCGTGTATCGCTTCCGCGAAAAAATACTATTCACACGTATATTTCGCGTATGGAGAATATCTCTCTTTCATGCGAAGCTTCATGAGATCTTTATCACATGTACATATAATTTCTCTTTTAATAATTATTACGCATACAAAGCCCGTTATCGCGGAATAAAAATTATATTAATTCAATGACTAAAATAAAATAATTGAATATCGGTCATATACATGTGCGTATTAAATTAATATTTTACTAAAAAAAATATGTATTGCAGGTACATTGTTAATAACATCGTTTTACCTTGATTCCACGCGAGTACAATTACTCGCACCGTTAATCGAATATTTGATATCAACCGGCGCTCGAGATATTTATTAATCAGCAACGTTCTGGGGCAACGAGAACCCGTGCGCAATTTTTCACGCAAAGTATACATGTATTATATGTATTATATATATATATATATATACACACATATATACATATGTATATACACATAATACAGTTTCATAGAAAAAAATTTCTATAAAAGTCGCGTTTTGATACGAGATTTTTATTGAGTTACGCGTATACCTTTCTATGCTAGTTGCAAACAAAGTATACTTTTATCTGGAGCTTATTAATTTGTTTACGACCCGTCGATGAAACGTTATATTTGTAAAGTAACTTAAATAAAAATACTTCTCGCTCTCTCGAGAAGTATGTTTAGTAAAGGCGCGCGCGCGCGCACACACACACACACACACACACACCATGCCGTACAGCAACGCGCTTCGAAATGTATCGATAAAGCACCATTCTCGCGGATCGTCACGATCCGACAAGCCATTATAGTTTCTGTATTCGACGCGACGTGTTAGATATAGATTTCCCGGCATCTCGCAGCACCGTATAGTTTTCAGCGTCAATAAAATATGTTCCAGTTTTCTTATCGCCGAAAAGAGAAATGGTTAGAACATTACCCACATCGGAACGTATAACGAATATGAATCAATCGGCTTACGATGCTCGGGGTCGATCGAGTACCACCATCGAGATAACGCCGATATTGGTAGTTTTAATTTTGGATCTGACAGCGGGTATACCGTATAACGTGGCGGCCGTTAATACAATCGGGAGCCGAGTCCGAAGACACACGGCATCGCGCGTGGCATAATAAAAATGTTACAGATGTAGTCGCGGAAGAGCCGTTTTTTTCGCGGATTAACCTGGATTCCCATGCGACGCGCGCGCGGTACGATTTGGTCGTAATTATGTTTAATTTCTTATTTCAGCGTTTGTGTACACACACAGATAAAGCGCGGAATATCCAGTGAGATAGGAATTGGTGTAACAGTGTTTCACGTATTTCCAGAATAACTTGCGCACGTAAGGCTGTCCGTTGCAGCGATAGTTTGGGATTAAGCGTACATCCCTTGTGATAATCTCTTTTGCTCCCTGTGTCTGGGGTCTCTCTGGAGAATCAGCCATAAACCACGAAACCTGTCATAACTACTTTCTTCCCACGATCTCCCTGCGTTTGTACGCACAGGAGGGTTAGGTCGATACGAATACGAATTATAGCGCGATAGAGCCGAACGAATTAGGCCGCTTCAGAGTTTCTCCCAGCGAAAGAAAAAAAAAAAGCGCGTTTGCAGCGGAAGAGGGACGCAACGCGCGCGCGCGAGAAAGAGAGAGAGAGAGAGAGAGACAGAGAAAACGAAAACGCGCGTATTCCATGTGCTCGACACGCGCGATTTAACATCAATTATAAGAAATGTGCGAATGATGCGAATGATAAAGTCCACTCCCGTTACATTCCCAAATCCCTCGGCATCGACGTCACGCCGGACTGGGCGACCTGAAATAATTTAACAGGCACGCATGACGGACCAAATAAATATCACACGAAGATCCCCCCCCTGCCTTTCCGTGCTCGTTACACGTGTGAAAAGGTGCTCGGTGCCGCGCGCTCGCTGCGTGCGTGTGTATGTGTGTGCGTGCGTGCGTGTGTGTGTGTGTGTGTGTGTGTGTGTGTGTGTGTGTGTGTGTGTGGTGTGCGCGCGCCCGCCCACCCCCTATTATATATGTACCGACGGGGCGGTCTGCACGCGTGTGCGTGCTTGAAATTCAGTGAGAGCGGCAGCAATATTTAACTCAGTCTGAAATTCCTCTTTTTATGGACTTGTAAAACCGTGACAGGCACATGGGACCCGATCCTGCGCCACCGCGCGCACCACCCTCCCGTTCTTCGTCCCTGCCGTTTTGCCCGCCACCCCTTGTTGCTACCTGCATCTCACTCTCTCGCCCTCCTTCTCTTTCTCTCCCTCTCGCCGCTCTCTCGCGCTCGACTCACACCCGCTGACGCGGTTAGATGGCAGTCTCGTATCTCTCTCTCGTCGTCCTCTTTCCCATCGCCGCGTCGGTCGACGGTCCGCTGCCGGGTGGGGTACCCTATCTACGACCACCTTCTCCACTTCCCTTTTTCCTTCGGCGTCGCTATCCACCTCTCCGCCTCTGCAGAGCGCGGAGCACTCTCTCCATGCGGAGCACTCCCCCTCCCCCTCCCCCTCTCCCTCGAAGCACTATTTCTCCTCGGCGACAAATGCAAAACTAAAACGTATCTCCCCTATTCTCTCTGTAAATATGCCGGTGCAGCTAGCACGGTGGCCCGGAGTTTTTCCTCCGCTGCCGTCCTCTCCCCCTCCCCCCTCCCTCCGACCCCTGCATCCCGTATCCCTCGCTCTCTCGCGGTCCCCTCTCGCCCCGCCAGTGTGTCTACTCTATACCCACCATCTTCGCCATCCTCCTCGCGATCATACACGTATACGGCGTTCGGCGAATGGATACGGGGATGTCGTACGGCTGCAAGTGGGACGACGGCGACGGCTTGTTTTACCTTTCCGCGAGAGACTGCTAGTAACTCCGGCATACCGATGCACCTGCGCGACGCGCTCGCACGCGAGAATATGTTTGTAACGGGGGAGGGGGGGGGAGGGGAGCGCGATGAGGCGACAGGAGAGGAAGCCTAACATTTTGTTAAGCGCCGGCGCTCGCTTCGCGCCTTGTCGGTGAATCGCCGTTTCGCCGTCAAAAGCCAAGGAGCAGCAGCGCCGATACTTAAAAAGCTAAATCTCTGGCGTTCTCGCGCGAGAGATACGACACGCGCTGGCGCTTCGTAATCTCGTCGCTCGTCTGGAGAGATGCCCGGAGATATAATGGGAAGGCAAAGAAAACGGGAAGCAATTCTTCTTTTGCAAGCCGGGACCGTCGCGAAAACCGTCGCCGCAGTCGTGTGAGTCACGTTATAAAGCAGAATCCCGGCCGCGAATCGCTCGCCGCATCGAGCGCGTCTATAATTCCTACGGCGCGAAACTGCAAATAACATCTCGCGGCCAAGAGTCGGACTGCCGCCCGGCGGCGACATTCGCGAGGGATCGGAACGGGATGCACGGATATAACGCTCGCGCGGAATGTCTCTGCGATATGGCGGGCAGGTAGGTTGTATTAATTCCAGGTTCAGTAGCAGCTGTTGGACAGCGACTTTAAGAGCGGTCGTTCATGCGAATGTCGTAATACGCAGTCACGGGATCCAACGTGCGCCCGAGGTTTATTCCGCAAAGATGAAAATATAGCGGCGGCGGGAGCGTAACAAACGGCGATGGTACGAGCGGCGAATCGCGATAAAATATTTTGGACTTTCGCGCCCCCGCCCGCGACGTGTTTATCGTCGGACGCAGCCGCGCAGCCGGTAGGTAGTAAGTGGGGCTTCATAATTTTTGCTCGAAACAAGTAGCGGTTACTCGCTGTAAGGAGCAAAGGAGATCTTTACACCTTTTAAGAGAAATTATCAACTCCAGCCGCGCGCGCGCGCGCGCGCGTGATTGCATTCTTCAATGTGCACATGGATGTGTTACGAAAGTGTGTGTGTGTAGAACACACGTGCTCGATTGCGCGCCGGCCGGAATTCGCTAAAATTATCGGCGCGCGAAACTTAAAGCGACGCGCAATATGTGGCGCGATTTGCATAATTGCGACTCGTGTAATTGCAATTTCAATTATCTCAATCGCTATGCAGATCTGCCTATAATCCCTTATAGTGATAGTGACCCCGATATTATAGATCAATTTCACGGCAAACCCCCTTTAAT